AATATCCTTTTACATTGTCGCCACGTGGCGGATCGAGTAATTGTCACTATGCTACACAGTCTTCCAGGAGGATGAAGACGACACTTTGGTGCGCTTCCCGGAGTTGGAGTAAACAATGAGGTATGTTCTAGGCCCATCCGCTGCTGCTAGCCCATCCAAATCTCCCATTTCTTGCGTAGATCTCTCTTCCTTCGAGGCTTCGTCCGGATCGATCGAAGATCGCGCCGAGGTTAGAGTCGGAGTCGTCGTCGTCGACGTTGCCACCAGGCTTTCCAGCTCGAAGAGATCTGAGCTAGAATCGGAGGCGTGGCCATCGAAATCGCCAGAGAATGCCGGATCGAGCAGCGGGATTTCTACCGAGAGGGGCGACCCAAACGCTCCTTGCGACGATCCCTGGCTGCTGCTGAGATCTAGCAATCGACTTGAGGAGTTGAAGCTGCCAAAGACTCCAAGTACGTTTTCCTGGGCAACCAGCTGGATCGGTTGCTCCTCCGGCGATGGATTGATCACTTCACTCACATCGACGATGATCGGATGCTGCCAGGTCGAGACTGGTGAATTCTGCGGCCCCGGGACGCCAGCTTCGTCATCGATTCTTCCCACTGGCATCAGCGACAGCTTCTTGAGCCGGATCATCGCCTTCTCTCGCAGAGATTTGCGCTCCATGTGCACCATCAAGCTCGCATTTTCCAGCACCGAGTTGGAGATCAAAGGTGGACCACAGAGGCAAAAGTGCTTGAGCCTGGAGATGGACGAGTCGCAGCTATCGGTGGAGGCTCGCGCGGCGCTCTCTTGAGACGATTCCTCCTCGCTGAAAACCCCGCTCATGTAGTGGACATCGCTACAAATCCAAGAGGAAGAAGAAGCTCTCGTGGATGCCTTTGACAAGCACACACCCATCTCTTCTATGACGCTTCTGTAGGCCCCCTCAAGCTCTGGGAGCTCCAGAGCTAGCTTTATATTCTCCATGCTTCTATGAATTAAGCTCAAAGGAGGATTTTCTTCACTTGGTCGAGCTCTTTCTCTCTCACTCCTTAGAAAAACTGGGTGCCTGTATTGAGACAAGAAGACAAGGGCGATTTAAAACCTTAGAGCTGAGAGCTTGCAGAGATAGTGTCAATCGATTTCTTTGCTTTTTATAAGCTCTGACCATGGTGCTGTCTTGGGACAAGGAAGACAGTGATTAAAATTACCTTGACGAAGAGGCAACAAAGCCAGAGCTTGCAGAGAAGGCCAAATATTTTGTTCCCGCAAGAGGTTATGGTGTCCAGGCCCATGCTGCGTGTTCCTCCATTTAGTGACTGGATCCATGTGACCGTGGATCCGCGACCGTTAGATTTCACATGACACGGGAGTTTGATTCTAGGGTTTTGTTTTCTTGGAGCTAGGGTTTGCGCAAGGATGCGATGGCGACGGCGGACGCTCCCTCCAGCGGCCGGGAGCGCGTCCAGGTCGTCGTGCGCTGCCGCCCGATGTCTCACAGAGAGCTTGTCGCCCGGCGCCGGAGCTGCGTCAAGGTTTTCACGCGGCAGCACAGGATCGAGGTATTTCGATCCCGCATTGCATTGATCGTGCTCTAGAATCGCGAAATTTCTTCTCTAGATGCTCTGAGAATGAAATCTTAGCTGCATTCTCGTGTTTAGAGTCGGAAAGTTGCTTGGCGATTTTAGCCGCGCAATTCCTTAAATCTTAGCTGCATTCTAGAGTTCTTCTTTTCGTTCTCTAGATGCCTTTTGAGAATGAAATGTTAGCTGCATTCTAGAGTCGCAAGGTTTCTTGGGGATTTTAGCCGCTGCTCAAAAGAACCCATTTTTTTGCCTTCGCTATTCCGGTTGTTCTGCTAAAGCTCAATGATGGATGAACCATGCAGGTGCGTGGACCTGGGCGACGAGGTCCGATCGACACTGGGGTCAGAGTTTTCGAGTTTGATCGAGTTTACGACTCCAAGTGTTCCCAGCAGCAGCTCTACCAAGAGGTAGCTCATCCGGTTGTGGAGAGTGTGATGCACGGCTACAATGGTACCGTACTTGCATACGGGCAAACCGCGTCTGGGAAGACTTACACAATGGAAGGCTTTGACGATCAGCCTGGTATGGTAACGACATGGTAATCAACTGAAATGACTTCTTGTCCATATGAGCTTCTCACGGTTTTTCTTTACAGAGTACCGGGGGATAATTCCCTCTGCGTTCCAGGATATCTTTTCTTACATCGCTAGGAACCAAAGCTCAACCCGGTTTCTCGTCCGTGCATCATTTCTGGAGATTTACAATGAAGAGATCAGAGATTTGCTGGTACCAGGCTCTTCTGCCGCCAGCACAAAGCTGGAGCTGATAGAAAGCGCTGACGTTGGAATTTTTGTGAAGAACCTTACGTGCCGCAGAATGTACAGCTTATCAGACATCTTGCATTTACTAATGGTAAGTTTTTTTCTCTACTAGTAGTTGACACTGAAGGTGCATTCCTTCTTTTTTCGTAGGTAGGAAAGAAAAACAGATCTGTGGGAGCGACTCTGATGAACCAAGATTCGTCTCGTTCGCATTCAATCTTTACTGTGACTGTCGAGGCTAGTTACGTCGCCGAGAATGATCCAGGGAAACGCCTTCATGTTCGAGTTGGAAAACTTCATCTGGTATTTTTTTTCTTTTCTTGTTTCTCGATTCTAACTTGCTTCAGTATTTCAGGTCGACCTGGCCGGAAGTGAAAGAATGAGCAAAGCTGGTGCCAAAGGGAAAAGATTCCGAGAGCTGACCAACATAAATTGGTCTCTCATGGCTTTGGGAAACGTAATATCTGCGTTGGCTGACGGAAAAAGCACGCATATCCCGTATAGAGACTCAAAGCTGACGAGGCTTTTGCAAGATTCACTGGGTGGAAACGCCAAGACAGTGATGGTTGCAAACATCGGCCCTTCGGAGCATAACTACGAAGAGACCGTCAGCACACTGAGATATGCCAACCGCGCAAGGAGCATCAGGAACGCACCTCGTATCAACCAGGACCCCAAGAGCGCCTTGCTTGGCGAGGAGATTTTGAGGTGAGTGCTTCAATGTTTCCAAGAGCTACTTAGTGAGGAGTGTTTCCAGGCTGAAAGCACAGCTTAGTGACGACACTCGTAACGCCGGAGTCGAGCACCTGGATCCTCGAGAATTCAGCGAGAAAGCTCTGGCATTGATGCGAGTGGAGCTTGAGCCACAGCTCAAGCTCACCTCCTTAGCAACATCATCGCCAGACAAGGAAAAAGAGGAGCTCACCGAGCGTCTGCTACAACAATTGAAGAGAATCCAAGGACAAAACAAGGTAAGCCAAGCTCTCCTTTCGTTTTTCTCGTTCTCAAGCTCCTTTGGTTTCCAGAAAGCTCGGGTGGCATACAATCCGCAAGCTCGGCCTTGGATGTACAGGCCTCACAGGCCAGGAAACGTACCAGTGCTCAGAGTTAGCGTTTACAAGAAGGCGCCTCCACAGGTGACTAGGAAATCGACCAAGAATCGAAAGAACGCGAGGAACAACCAGCGAATTCCATGCCGGCTCGCCGATGCTCGGCAAAGAGCCGTGGAGGTGAGACACCGGAATTTTTACATCTAGAATAGACCATAAGGATGGAATATTCATGGCATATGCCGATGTTTTAAATTCCACCCACAAAATCACTTTTCTAGGTCTAGCAGAGGCGCTGTGTGTTGTGGCGGACGAAGAGCTGGGCCGCTGGACGCTGGAAATTCGCTGCCCGCGCCATCGATTTGATCAGCCAGTAGTATCGATTGTCTCACCTAGTGCCCGGATTCCACTTCCAGCCGCCGCCAAAGCCGGGGTATAGGGTTCTTCGTGTGATTTCCTTCCCCCTCTCTCTCCTCTCTCTCTTCTAGGGCTCCAATGTGATCCTGGGATCTTGTAGCTTAGATCGTGATGTCAGTGGTGATGGCAGCAAAGTGTCTCCACTCGCCCGCGCCACTGCCGGGATCGCCACTGCATGACAAGGCGCCGATTTGCCTCGAGACTGTGGATGGCTCGCGGCACGAGGTGGAATGGGAGGCGGCCATGCTCTTCCCTCTCGTCCACCGCGAGGTCTTGCTTAACGGATGCTGCCCCAGGGATAAGGTGATAATCGCTCTTCCGGCTCAAGTTAATCCCAGCACGCTTAAGTTGCTACTCGAGTACTGCCGCTTCCATCAGGTCCCAGGTCGGTCCGATAAGGTAACATCGCTGGTTGGGATTCATGGTTTCGTGATCTTCGTGCTCTTCCTTTTCTCTTTTAGGAGAGGAAGTTTTTCGACGAGAAGTTCGTCCGGCTAGACACCAAGACGTTGTGTGAGCTCACGTCGGCGGCCGATAGCCTGGACATGAAACCGCTGGTGGACTTAACCAGTCGAGCGCTAGCTCGGATGATCGAAGGAAAGACTCCGAAAGAGATCCGCGAGACATTTGGGCTGCCAGACGATCTAACCGAAGTAAGAAGCGAATGTTATAGATCTCTCACAGGCATGGCACTTTGTTTCAACTTTTTCATTCCACTTTTCGTTTTCTTTGATTCAAATGGTTTTCGTTTGATTCAGGAAGAGAAGCTGGAGCCTGTGAAAAACACCACGGATGACATGAGGATACGGCTGCTCAATCGGCTGTATGCAAGGAAGAGAAAAGAGTTGCAAGACAAAAAACTTCTAAAGGTATGATAAGTATCCTCGTACCTGCGCTACAATTCTCTTTTCTCTCTTGACTCTAGGAAGGCTCTATCGAAGAATGCAAAAGGGACGACCGGTCAGTGGATGACTTGGTTTCCTTCATCGATGGCGATGACAAAGGAGGTATGTGCGTGTTTACTCGCTTCTTTTAGCATAGTTTGATACTCGCCATTTGCTACTCGCTCGCAGATAAGCTAGCGAAATCAGGAAAGGCCAAGAGGAAAAAGAACAGGAGAAAGAAGGATCAAACCTCTTCGAAAGGGAGCTGCGCGACATCCTTGGAGAATGACGAAGTAAAGGTCGCAAGTTTGGTTGCCTGTGTGACTTTAATGGATTTGCGCGTGTATAGGCCGAGAACTCTGGAAGGTGTGAGGACAGCCATCACTTGCCCGAGGCCGACGAGCTGGGCTACCCCGACGAGGAAGACGACTTGGATCCCGCCATGAAGGAGGAGCTTGACAGGTTCATATCAACTTACATCCCTCAGTCTGTGCTTTCAGAATTATAAAAGCATCGCTGTTTCCTTCCCTCGAGAACAACTTTGTTCTCGTTTTCTCGCATGAGCCTGATCGATTGAGCTTCAGGGAAGTCGAAGATTTTGCGAGGAGACTAAACGCCGACTGGCCCAACCGGATGCAAGAGATTCTCGCCTTGGCATCTTCGAGCAACCAAGAACACGGGCTTTGGACGACGACGCCGACGACGACAAGTCCAACACAGAATTGTTGTCAGCCAAAGACACACGAGCTCGTTGGATGATCCCAATTTTTCTCTTTTTTTCTTTTTTTCTTTTTTCTTTCAAATAACTTTTTCTCTTTTTTGTTCCTTCCATTCTTTCTATGTACAAAACATTAACAGGAAAAATTAAAAGTTCTTCATGCTATCATGGAGTGTGTAGCTCTATAACTCATCCAAGTGTTTCAAACCAAAAACTAGGCCGTGGAATCGCAAGGCTGTTCGATAAAGATCAAGCAAAATGCATTCCTTGTCCACTGCCGAGCAGGAATTAAGCAATTCGTAAACTTCTTTAACGAGTAGTCACAAAACGTGCTTCTTGCCATGCCTGTGAGAGATCTATGACATTCGCTTCTTCCTCTGGTTAGATCGTCTGGCAGTCCGGATCTCTTTCGGAGTCTTTCCTTCGATCATCCGTGCTAGAGTCTACTGGTCAAGTCCACCAGTGGTTTCATGTCAAGGCTTTCGGCTGCCGACGTGAGCTCAGACAACGTCTTGGTGTCTAGCGGGACGAGCTTCTCATCTCCTGCAAAAGGAAAAGAAAGATCTCGAGCCGCGAAACCATGAATTCCAACCAGCGGCAGTGCGTACTCGAGTAGAAACTTTACTTGTCCCTGGGACAGCATCCATTGAGCAAGATCTCGCGGTGGACGAGAGGCACTCCACCTGGTTGGGCTTTGCCGCAAAATATGCCCAATGCGGGTATATGCGATCACCATCGTAGTCCACCCTCTCCTGTAGAGAATCAAAGGTTTTTCCCTCCCCAGAAACGCAATTGTCGTCGCAAAAGGCCCGTAACAGGATTTTCCAGGAGAAGACATTGGGATCCTGAATCGAGTGAAGGACCTTGATCGCCTCGTCAATGTGCCCAAACCGGGGATATAAGAGGTTACGCCGGTGCTTAGCTCGTCTTTGGTTCCTGAGAATAATCTCTGGCTGCCATGGAGAGAAGAAAGACTTGGTTGACATGAGACCTGAAGAGTTCGTGTATCAAAAGAAACTAAAACGCACCAAGAAGAGCCACATCAAATTCCCATGAACTCAAAGCCTTGTCTCCCACCAAGGAATGGGAGTGACAATACGCATTACGGTTTCCTTTTCTTGGTCGGAGACCTTCCGCAAACAATACGCAATATTATGAACTTCCATGTCTTGTCCGCATGTCTCTGAGAAGGCATACCGGAGTCCAGCCGCATTCGGCAATCGTAACCACGGTAACACTACGTGCTTTCCAGAAGAAAACAATCGATTCTTTTCTCTTGCTTTGCAGCAGCTTTGTCACTGATAACTCTGGGGAGCCGATCACATCAATCCAAACGCGGCTGCTCATCCGGGCCTCGTCTACGATGCCAAGGCAGGAAAGGCGCCCGAATTCACGGACTTTCTGTGTGGATTGAGGCAGGAAATACGAAATGTCTCCACTTTCGCGAACTTGAAACCATCTATTCCACACGACGACGCAGCAATCTCAACTATCCCTCTATCGCGTTCTCTTCGCTTAAAGGAAAGAGGATCATCCACCGGCGAGTGATAAACGTAGACGACGACGCTACCACGTACCGAGCAAGCGTGGAGGCTCCGGATGGTGTTTTGGTATCTTCTAAATGGCTCGCAAAGATAAAATATCCTTTAACCACCATGAAAGTCTAGACTGATTTGCAAAAGAATTCGTAAAATCGAAAAGTACATAAATTCCTCCAAAGAGTCACCCTCTCGCCCAGCAGTGTGGACACACTGGATAATCTTCGCGATTCTATCTATGGGCACGTAGAAATCGATGTCTCCTGGAGTCTCTTCGCAGCGGTCTTGCCCCAAAAAGGGTGTCTAAGTTTCGATTCCATTTATAGTCTAGCAAATTAAACGAAACACGCAAACTGTCACCGTGTATAGCTGGCTGGAACGTTGAAAAATTATAAACTGAGCTAAATTTCAATATAGTAATGTAGTCGACGTAGAAATTTTGCATTCAAGCCACAATGTGGAGTCATGTACTAGCTGAGTCGTCAAGATAAGCGTCGCTCCCAGGACTATATAAACAAGGCCTTTCCAGAGCTCAACTCATCTCTAGTTAAAGTTGTTTACTCATTTTCTTCTTGGTTATTTCTTGTTCTATCTCATTATGGCATTTCGCGAGGTTTTCTTCCTGTGTATGCTGGTCTCGACCCTCTCCATCACCCAGGTAAGAAACTCTCATTCGATTGTCCCGCAAGAAGCTCACAATTTGGATATCTTACTCTTACAGGCTTGCCAGTTTTCTCGATCCTGCACTGATATCACCTTCGACAGGAATTCGACCGTGATGAGAGCCATTTGCAGCACATCCAATTTGGAAAGGAGGAACGCCTCCATCGATGTGAACAATTGCGTGGGCAGCAGCAATGGCATCCTCGACTGCTCATCCAACTTTGCCTCGCGATGCATCGACATCAACTTCAATGGGCTCACCCTGGCTGCCCGTTGCAACCGCGGGGATGGCGTTCTCGTCTTCTCCAATCGCGACATCAATGATTGCATCCAGAACGTCGAGGGAGTTCTCCAGTGCTGCTAGATCCTTTTGGATGATCAAACTATATCCATATGATGAAAGATGAATAACTGAGTGATCTCCCACATGATCTCTCCTTGTTTGGCACGTATGTGTCGCTGTTCTGATCAATAAAACTTACTCACGGAAGTTGTGGGGCTTTTAAGGCAGACTGGAAAGTATTACTTGTACAACTTTTTTTCAATTTGTATAATGAAAATACTACAAAGACAAATCGATTTATATTAAAGGTATATTATTTCTAATAAATGAGAATTTCTTTCACTTTAAAGCCTATGATCCCTCCTTATTAATGTGCCGTTTCATCAAGGATTAAAATCATAAATGTAGTCGACATGGGCTTGCTGCTCCTGATCACCAAAGATGATTGACAACACACGATCATACATGTCAAGAATATTGTCTTCAAATACAGGATTATTTTACCTCTGGTTCGGCAATTTTTGGGGTGGAATTGGACAATGGCGACCAATCCAGCTGATTAGCAATCTTAGCCATCACTGTAAAAGACAAAAAGATTAAATCACGTACGAATCAGGTTACGTGCTTGGACAGACACACATGCAAGCGAGTGCAGACACGGACCATGATGTTTCAAAAGAAACACAGAGATCATCAAATCCAATCGAGGCATATTCAATCGAGATTGAAGAACAGGCATACCTGTTTCATTCTTCACTGGCCGAGAGGTCACAGTAGCAGCCACCAAGAGGACGAAGAAGAAAAAACTTAGTGCGCGAGACATGATCTAGAGTTCCTCTTGCAAAGAAAATCTATCAAAGAGAGATCGATGATATGATCAGCGTTTGTGTTGATATCGTACATATGCTGCCGAGAAAAGGTCAAGCACTGAAGAACCGCCACGTCGACATGCAAAGCGGCAGTTTTGACTGGATGGCTGGAAACCAGACTTCCAGTTAGCTTTTCCCTCTCCAATTTTACTGGAATTCACTTGCGATATGCTAATGTTATGGCGTGCAATTTGTAAAAGGGTGGAAAAAACAGTAGTGTTTCTCACTCACAATACAATGTCCATGTGGCAGTTTTCTATTGATTCAGCATTAAATGTCAATCTCATTGCAATGGATGCCCCATGGATGCTAGCCCGATGGGTGGACACATTCTCATCGGAGACGGATCAGAGGTTCTTTCTCTTGGGAAAAATATTTGATCTAAGCAAGAATCCTAGTAAGAAGCACTTTCTTTTGGTGATCCTCTCTGGCTCATAAATTTTTTTCTCGCTTTCTCCAGGGCTTATCGATCGATCGAACTGGCTGTTTGCCACAGCTTTTCTTCGAGATCTTTGGCTGTGACTTGGGGAAGCACCGCAGAATACTGGGAATGGTCCTCAAAGCATGGCGCCAGGTACTTAAGTGGCACACCTCAAGATGGTTTGCTAGCTAGAGCTCTCTGGGAACTGGAAGTTGAGCCTAGCTCCAGGAACTTACACCGTCTCTTGGAGACTCAAGCTTGATTCCGACGCCATTGGGTGGGATAAGGAACCAGTGAGATTCAGCTTGGCAACACTAGACGGAAGGGTGACGAACTCTTCGTGCTGGCTCCATTTGGGTCATTGCTATGGGCATGAAGCCAAGGAATGGATATTCGTAAAATATCCTATGCCACGCATATTACACGTGGAGTAATAGCAACCAGACACGTATTGTGAATGAAAAATGCCGCTGTTTTTCCACCCTTTTACGAAATTGCACGCGAGTACCGAGCAAGCGTGGAGGCTCCGGACGGTGATATGGTACCGGTGGGAGCTAGCGGTATCTTTGCGAGCCGTTTAGGAATGTTTGCCTTGTCAAGCGAGTCCTCCGCTAGAGATCATCAAAGTCGGCTCTTCTGAATTTTAGGGTTCTTCGACAAAGATTCTTTTGGCGCTCGATGGATGGATGCATTTCCTTCGACCCGTACTGGGACAATGCCTGGGTCACAGCACAGGCTGCTGAGCGGAGCTCCTGTTGGGGTTGAAATCCTGCGGGAGCTCCAAGGGGAAGGGTGCTCCAGCTTGATCGGCATGTATGGGAGGTGTGGCAGCCTGGTTGAGGCGAGGGAGGTGTTTGACAGGATGCCTTGCCACAATGTAGTGGCCTGGAACGCTTTCATCTTGGGACACGCAGAGAATGGCGAAGAATCTCGTGCTCTGGAAGCTTTCTCATGGATGGAAAGCCAGGGTTGCGGACCGGATTCCGGGACATTCTTCGCAGCGATCAAGGCTTGCTCTGCTCTAGCGATCAGAGAAGAAGCGAGACTCATCGGTGGGAAGATGATCAAGCTGGAAGCTCTGGAACAAGGCATGAGAATCCACCCTCGAGCTAAGAGAAGCGGCAAAGATGATCACGTAGCGAGCTCGCTGGTGGAAGTGTACGCATACTGTGGAAGAATGATGGAAGCACGCATGGTTTTCGACACAAGCTCCCGGCACAGTGTCATCTCGTGGACTGTTCTAGTGCTCGGGTACGTTGCAAACGTGGAGAGTGACCTAGCTCTCGAGGTTTTTGGTAGCATGGGAGCTGGTCGATGTTTTGGCACAGCAGCGAAAGCTTTCGCAGATTTGGCTGGGAGAGAAAAGTGGGAGAAGCTTTGGATGGAACGGCTGTGAAAGTTAGCACTCTGGGAAAAGGGAGAGGAATCCATCGCCAAGCGAGACGAGTGCTGAATATTTGTTTGCGAAGTGCTGATGCTGTGGCTAACGTCACACGTCCAAGGTTCGTGACCTTTATTTTCTTGGTTTCTGACGCGCGCGATTATGAATCCATTCGCTTCTTCCGCCATTCCTCTACATTTGGCGTGTTGCATTGCGCGCTAGGTGATCGTCTTCACCCCTGCTCTTAGCTCGAGAATGGATGAGCTGGATCATCTTTCCACCCATCACTCTCGCTTTGTTTCTTTTTCGTGCGGTGTCGCCACGAGAAAGGATTTCGCACTGTCACAAAGCCGCCGACGACATTGGTTGGTGTTTGTTTTGTGATGCCGATTATCACAAGCTTCTGCGGCAGCAGCTGTCACGCAATCGAATCCCGGCGTACAAGACGAACAGCTTCATGGCGGATGCGCTGCTGTCGACGATTCCAACATTACGGATCCCTCGCGGTTCCTGAAATCGGGGCAAGGCTGCTGGATGAAAACACTCAGGCAGCAGCAACTGGACTGGAAGAAATTCCTCGGCCGAGGGAGCTGCTCGTGCTCACGCCAGAGGGGATCGGCTTGGAAGTTTTGGAAGTGACTGCAAAAGAAAAAGGAAGATCTCGAACCACGAAACCATGAATTCCAACCAGCGATGTGACCTTATTGGACCGGGAAGCGGCAGCGCGTACTCGAGTAGCAACTTCACTTGTCCCTGGGACAGCATCCATTGAGCAAGACCTCGCGGTGGACGAGAGGCATTCCACCTGGTTGCGCGCGGCCCGTGAAGAGAAACTTTTCCGCGAAAGATGCCCAATGCGGGCATATGCGATCACCATCGTAGTCCAGGTCACCCGGAGAATCAATGGTTTTTCTCTCCTCAGAAACGCGATTGTCATCGAAAAAGGCCCCTAACAGGATTTTCAAGGAGAATACATTGGAATTCTGGATCGAGTGAAACACCTTGATCGCCTCGCCAATATGCCCAAATCGGGCATATAGTGATAGCAAGAGGTTACACAAGAATGTGCATTCCCGGTCGATCCGGCGCGCTTCCCTGTGATTGCCACATCCGCGCAGGCTTTGTCCAGTTCGTTGAACAAACATTTTGGTTAGAACAAACAGTTCACGAACTTGTTAAACTTCGATGTCCATCTCGTTGAACAGCAAACATCTTAGTTAAAGCAAACAGTATACGACTTGATCTGAGCGTCTTTTCTTGTAAATTCACGCTATGATCACTGTGCTTCCTGTACACATTGCATGCCTTCAGAGTTTCAATGATCGTTGTTTTCATTGAGGTTGGACCATTGTCATGTACGTCTTCAGCTGGATTGAAGTTCTGAAGATCAACAGGCAATGTTGTTTCTCAGCTCGCAGGTCTTTGTTGAGCGCAGCAACAACACATCTCTCCAAAACGTGGACACAAAATCTCTCCAATCTCGTAGCATTTTCATCTTGGCACAGTGACACGGCATTTGAGTTCTTATCGTCGTTGAGCAGCCTTCTTAATGACAAGAAATTAGAACAAATTGAAACACACTCAAACCTGAAGCTAAGTATCGTCACTTTCAATGATCATTAGTTTTGTTCGTATTCAAACAGCGTTGTCCACATCAGTGAGTTTCCCTTCACGTTGAGAGTTCCTTGGCCCGTTGTTTAGGACTTTGATTTTTTGAATTGTTTGAACATATTGACTATCACTGGCTTCTTTTACTGTTGATTAGCTCGTTGCAAGCAGCTTCGCTTTATTGTCCCCAGCAAATCTACTCTCTTATTCAAAGAAAAGCCCTACTTAAACGAACTTGAGCGTTCCTGGTGGAGAGAGGTGCGAAGCGTTCTACCTGGGCAGAGTGGACCGGACAAGGGGCCATTATATGTCTTTAAACATGAGCTAAATACCACTGGGAAAAAAGGGGAAAACGGAGAATTTTCTCAATTAGTCCAAAACGAAGCATCTTACTTAATTGGACGGATGACAGCCTGCTGGATGGCTCTTCCGTGTGGACGGATGACAGCCTGCTGGATGGCTCTTCCGTGTGGACGGACTTGAGTTGCAGTTTGTGGTCCTAAGCGAATTGAAAGAGCAATGTTCTTCACAATACAAAAAGAATGCCCGTGATCATGAATTTGATGCTTGTAGCATTGTGTTCATGAGATTTGATCCTTTTTAGCAATCAAACATTAATTTGGCTTCTTCTCGTGCTGTGCTGCAGTTTCATCCACGCCACCATGAATCTGCACGAAGCTCGCCAGCCCTTGTCCACTGCCAAGCAGGAATCAAGCAATTTGTAAACTTCTTTAACGAGTAGACGCTTCTTGCCATGCCTGTGAGATAGCATTCGCTTCTTACTTCGGGTAGTTCGTCTGGCAGTCCGGATCTCTTTCGGTGTCTTTCCTTTGATCGAGCTAGAGTCAACTGGTTAAGTCCACCAGTGGTTTCATGTCAAGACTTTCAGTCGCCAACGTGAGCTCACACAGCGTCTTGGGGTTTAGCAGAATGAACTTTTCATCGAAAAACTTCCTCTCCAAGGAAGATCTCGAGGCACGAAACCATGAATTCCAACCAGCGATGTGACCTGTGCGGCAGTACGTACTCGAGTAGCAATTGAGATTAATTTGACTTGTCCCTGGGACAGCATCCGTTGAACAAGACCTCGCGGTGGACGAGAGGCATTTCACCTGGTTGCGCCGTGGCCCGTGAAGAGAAACTTTGCCGCAAAATATGCCCAATGCGGGCATATGCGATCACCATCGTAGTCCACCCTCTCCTGTAGAGAATCAAAGGTTTTTCCCTCCCCAGAAACGCAATTGTCATCGCAAAAGGCCCGTAACAGGATTTTCGAAGAGAAGACATTGGGATCCTGAATCGAGTGAAGGACCTTGATCGCCTCGTCAATGTGCCCAAACCGGGCATGTAGTGATAGCAAGAGGTTACATAAGAATGTGCACTGCCGGAGCTTAGCTCGTCTTTGGTTCTTGAGAATAATCTCTGGCTGCCATGGAGAGAAGAAAGACTTGGTTGACGTGAGACCTGAAGAGTTCGTGTCTAAAACGCACCAAGAAGAGCCACATCAAATTCCCATGGACTCAAAGCCTTGTCTCCCACCAAGGAATGGGAGTGACAATACGCATTATGGTTTTCTTTTCTTGGTGGGAGATCTTCCGCAAACAATACGCAATATTATGAACTTCCATGTCTTGTCTGCATGTCTCTGAGAAGGAATACCTGAGTCCAGCCGCTATCAATTCGGCAATCATAACGACAGGTAACACTACGTGTTTTCCAGAAGAAAACAATCAATTTGTTTTGCAGCAGGTTTTGTCACTGATAACTCTGTGGAGCCGATCAAAGACGCAGGATTGCTCTCCGGCACCTTCGGTGGAGACCACATCAATCCAAACGTGGCTGCTCATCCGGGCCTCGTCTATAATGCCAAGGCGCCCGAATTCACGGACTTTCTGTGTGGATTGAGGCAGGAAATACGAAACGTCTCCACTTTCGCAAACTTGAAACCATCTATTCCACACGACAACGCAGCAATCTCAACTATCCCTCCATCGGGATCTCTTTGCTCAAAGGAAAGAGGATCATCCACCGGCGAGTGACAAACGTAGACGACGACGCTACCACGTACCGAGCAACAAGCGTGGAGGCTCCGGTATCTTCTAAATGGCTCGCAAAGATAAAGTATCCTTCATCTTTGGAGGAATTTATGTGCTTTTCGATTTTACGTCTACCAGCTGGACACACTGGATAATCTTCGCCATTCTATCTATGAGAAATCGATGTCTCGAGCGGTCTTGCCCCAAAAAGGGTGTCTAAGTTTCGATCCCATTTATAATCTAGCAAATTAAACGAAACACGCAAACTCCTAAAAATGTCACCGCTGGAACGTTGAAAAATCATAAACTGAGCTAAATTTCAATATTTACGTGTATAGTAATGTAGTCGACGTAGAAATTTTGCATTCTAGCCGCAATGTGGAGTCATGTACTAGCTGAATCGTCAAGATAAGCGTCGCTCCCAGGACTATATAAACAAGGCCTTTCCAGAGCTCAACTCATCTCTAGTTAAAGTTGTTTACTCATTTTCTTCTTGGTTATTTCTTGTTCTATCTCATTAGCTCTTGCAGGTCAAACACATGAAGAGCAATAAGTACTACCCACAGTCAAATGAGCAGGCCAAGTCTAGCAACAAAGTCCAAGACTATCTTCTTGAAACTTACCAAACTTACCAGGCGCCTGTAGACGGACAGCCTGCAAACCAGTCAAGCTGCTGTAACGCACTCCACCGCCTCACTCGGGATCATTTCTAATCCGTATAAGGCAAGCAGAAACTCGCTTATGTACAAGAGATCGCATGAACCCTCCCCTTTAGTCAGACCGAGAGGACTGCCTGTTAACATAGGCATCATCAACAACGAAAAAGTCAAGCAGCAACTTACCTGCCACTGAAAGCTCATAGAGACTTCTGGTTTTGCCACTCCCGGAAGCATTTAGCAGCACGCAATACTTGGCTTCAGCAACCCGAACATGATCCTCAATTGCCTTGGCCTGGTAGGCAACATCCTCCAGTCCGTTCCATAACAGATCTGCCTGTTCCTTATTGTGGAGACTTTCCCGGAGCATCCAGGAAAGTCGCTCTTAAAACTCTCCAGAGGTGGAAATCTGTCCCAACTGACGCCGATAACATCGTCCCAGGCGGCGTCCAAACATTTAATCACTGCAAACAAACGAATCCTCGAGTCAAATCTACCATTTGAAATGCAAAGGGCTTAGCAATTTCTTACAAGATCCGCCGATATTATGGGGCACTGCAAGAAACACGTTAGACTTCAAAGTCGAAATGAAATTTCAAAGGGGCTTTAGAACACAGATCTGGTACTCGACAAAAAGGGCTATATGAAAATAGAAAGCAGAACAAACGCAAGAAACACAGATATGGCTTGAAAAGTAGCAGATCACGAAATAGGAATACCAAGAACTCAGACTTCCGCACAGATCGGGGCATATACAAGGAAACAAAAGGCTTTTGCAATTGCTTACCAGATCCGCCGATTCCATAGGGCTCTGCAACATAGGAAACGTGTAAGAATATTTGAAACGGGAAAGCACAGGCTTACCAGGCAGGAAAGTTTTCAGTGCAACAATGAGCATATCCTGCTTCGCGGCCTCAAAAGACTCAGTATCAGTAAACCCATTCGTGGCGAGCTTTGCCAGGTCGGCATCAGTGAACTTGGAGAATTCTTTCTCAGAAATCTTGTCACGCAGCACAGCCTTCAACTCCTCTATCTCTACATCCATTGGAAACCTGCTCACGCCCTAACCTTAATATAAGCTAATAAGCGGTATATTCGCGGATTTTTTCTGTGTTCTGTGCCACTTGTCACATGCAGCTCCTCTGTACACGATTGAGTATCCATGGCTCGCTCCCTTGATTCCAATCTAGGGCACTCATCAAACAGTGCAGTGAGATGATAGAACTGTGTTTTGGGTAAGTAAAATTTCTTTTGCTGGATAAGCTTTTTTGGAAGGGTTAGAGCCGATGACACTCTTGTTCTTTCCTTTTAAATGCCACCCCTCTGCAAACAGCATTAACATTGTTTGAGATTGAGAGCAAGCTCTTTGAGGAGGTCCAAGTTGAGAGATTGCAAGGGAGTTTTCTACTTCTTAAACTATTTTATTTGTTTGACTTTGGAAGTTCTTGGCTTACTTTGCAAAACATCAAAATTCAGAGGAGCAAACGAGGAGCTATAACTGAGTGTTCCATGGAAACAATTATTTGCTAACAATTGCTAATGATTTTGTTGCTGTAGAGCCTTGTAAGCTTTGTTTGGCACCGGTCATGGGATGTAAAAGAACTGCAGCAGTTGCTATTGGGTGTTTACAAGCAACTTTAGCATAGGTTTTCAGCTCCCCACTTCACATGACCAGTTCCATTTGCAAATGAGGTAAATTTAACTTCTATGTTTTGGAACTTGTATTTTCTAATATTTAGATGTGCAGTGGAAATGATAAATCACCTGAGGCCTGGATCTGATGAAAGTTGCATCATACTCTGAGAAAGTCCCAAGTGCAGGGTAGCTTAGTGAAGTGTTCAAGAGTCAGCTCTAGTTCCCTCGGGAGATCGAATGGTCAATACTCTTAGTCCAAGTGTGGGTGGCACTACCTACTTGGATACCTGGCATGGCTCAATAGAACCTCGCTCTAAGCCCATAGTTAGAGCACCCAAAGGTGGAATGCAGGGAGAGTACACATGAGGCTCATGTAGGGCCATGGTGTTCCGAAATGCTATCCCAAAGGCCGAGACTGTGGAAAGGAAGAAGAGCAGTCCTCTGGTGTAGTGACCAAGGACACAGTCGTGTGGTGAGGAAGTCCTAGAGGACTACAGGACTTAGTGGTCGGGCCTGTGGGCCTTGATCCAGTGGCAATGTTGGCGAACATAGCCATGGGCAAAAAGGGATTTGGTGGGGACCAGAAAGGGGATATTAGGGAAGGTTATTTCCCATGTTTGCGGGCATCCTAAGGATGCTAAAGAGTGAATCTGGGATGATCACTCATGGACGGATGGCCTAGTCTTTGAGAGACGGGATTGTGATGTAGGTGGTGTTAGACCACCGGTGTGACCAAGGTGAATAAGCATGGCCTTAGCGTAACGGGCTGATATGTCGGTGGTACCTTGGGGTGTCGATCTTGGGATTTGACACGTGGAGCACTTGGACCAAGTGCAATGGTTGAGTGGCATGGATGCTATTCTTGGGGCTAACAAGTCCTTAAGTCCAGAATAGGACTTACGGAGGTTGTGAGTGAGACTCCTCCTAATGGTCGAAGAGGTGGTTAAGTGATTAAAGTAGAATAGAAAAATTAGTCGTTTACAATTTGGTATTGAAGCTGTTCCTTAGTCCGACTTTTATTGGTGGCCAAGTATATCACCACTTGTATTGGCATCGGAAGGTCCTAGGATCGGGCCTATCCTAGAAGAATAACATGTCAGAAGGACATGGCTCCCCACTATAATTTATGTGTGAATTTGTATGCAATGTGGTCGATAAAAAAAGGCTAATAAGGGAATGACTTTGGGATCTTGGGAATAGTATAAGGTTTTACTCAGAGAGTTGAGGGTGTGATCCAGATGAGTGTTTGATTTAGCAAACTGACTAATATAGTTGTGGTAAACAACTATAGCTGGGATCACAAGAAAGATAGAGACTCCAAAATAATAAAGGAGTCACAAAATTATCCTCATATAATTGAGGTTTGTGCTCATGAATTTGAGACTGGAATTGACAACCATAAGAGGTCAAGTATGGATGAGGACATGAGTCCTTGAAATGGTAGTCGGGGCTACCTTTTATAAATGCTGAAATAAACCCAAGGAGTTGGGGGTGTGCTCAAAGGATGAGTCGGTATTCTCATTATATGGACTGATAGTCCTAAGGGGTAACAGTAGCCCACAGGAACGGAAAATACTCAAGTGTTGGAGTAACACTTGCAAAGATGGTCCTTATAAATAGGACATGAATACATGAAGTTGTATTCCAACGAGTTGGCACCTTGAAATGGGATTTTACGGGTCATTGATTTGGCAAAAGTTCAAAAATGCTAGATGACTCAAGTAGAGTCAAGAAATGGTCTTAAGGGATTGGAAAAAGCATTTGGACTGAGGTGTATTGTGCCCCATGAAGGATGGGGAGGATTTTAAAATCTAAATATGAGAACAAGAGGTATTTCATTGGTGGCAAAATGTGCTATGCTAAAATCGTGGGAAAGAGTTTCCCGGAAGAAAACAACTTTGACACAAAGTAGTGCGTAAACTCTATAATGCAGTGCTAAAAGATAGTTGGCATAAGAAACAACCATATTAGTCTTGGCAAAAGACCTAGACACCAGTAAAAAGTGTTATAGAAGTAGGCTCGTAGAGCCGATGGCGTGGAAACACCGAATGTGCCAAGGTGTGTTACCTTGAGGTCAAGTTGGCGAATTCATGAGAACCCCTTCTAAAGGAATCCCAATGAAAATGGGAATGGCATAGCATAAGCTGGAAAGCATGTGGTTAGAGTGTGGCAACCCAAATAATGATGGAGGTGTGGAAGCACTAGCAATGAGTTGTAGGACTTAACAATTATGAGGCAACTAAGCAAAAGGTGCAAAATAATTGGTTAAATTGGTAGAAAGTAACTACTTAAGACTTATTATTGGGATAAGGAAGTTAAATATACCTTTATAAGGGAGAAATTACTTATGTTGCGATATAGTAAATCAATGTCATAAAAGGAGTGTTCATTGCCAAAGAAGGCCATCATTAGACAAACACTCTAAAACACCAGGAAGTGGTGTTTGGTGTCGCAAGGGCATTAGATAAGGCCCAAGGGACTAAGTCCCCCATTGTTCTTAGGACTCAAAACATGAAGCCCGTTTAGCTTTGGAAATCCGTTTGATTTCCACATTTGTATGAGGGAGAATGACATAACCTTTATGTGCTAAAGGTGGTGGTGGAATATAGAATATTCCATATGAATATTTGCTGATTCAATGAGTCCAGCCCTAAAGATGTAGGGTGGTTTGGGGCCATATGCTCCTCCCGCGTGTTCATTTCACATTTGCTTCATCGCAATCAAGCATTTTCGAGGGTTCCTTTTAAATTCTCCATCATGAAAAGAACAGTGATGGATCTTTAAGAGAAGACGACGGAACGAGCGGAAGAACAGCTCGGCATTCTCAAAACTGACTGGATCTGAGCTAGCTTTGCTTGCGGCTTACAGCATTTTAGCTGATAAATTATGTTAAAAAATGCAGAAAACATTAATATATATGATGATTGGCCATTTTTACTGGAGGGGTCCAACTTGGAGCTTGGGGTAATTCAAATTACCTTATGGGCTTGATCCAGAAGTCTGCCTAGCTCTGCTTCCATGAAATCTGATCTTATTCACAATCATCAAAAAGAGCCATTCACAAACATCAAAAGATGGTCTTCCTTACGTGACTGCTATGAATCCCAGAGCTTCATGAGTGAATAAAAAACCTGATGTGGCCTCAATGAATTCAGAAATTTTTGTGACAGATAAAAAGTATTCCAGGTTACTTATAAAAAGTATAAAAAGTATAAACAGGTTACTTATAACAAAAGACAAGTGATTTCATTAAATGAAAACTAACTTGGAGACAGGTGGTGAAACAGAAAAGCCCTTTGTTTTAGAGAGATTAAACAGGTGTTTATAGACAAAACATAAGATAAAAATTAATAGACACAAAACTAATATTAATTAATTCATGTTAATCAATCAATCAATTTATTTCAATGGTCTACTAGGAATATTCTTAGACTAAATTATAACCGTAAACCCATTTGAGATTGTTTATTCGTATATTTGAGACAACAATGGGACCCTACTCATTCTTTGCCATCTACAAACCATTGCGCGCCCAGCTACTTGCACCCTGGAAACTTTGTTTTTGACATTTAACTCCTTTAAACCATGACAGTTAACCAGCTCCAGATTCATTAAGCATGGGGTTAAACACGTTGCCAAAGCACGGTAAGATGCGCGTTTGGCTCAGCAACAAGATTCTTTGTGGAAGCACCAGCGCTACAAGAGCTGAGGATTGTACCAGGTTGATTACACACTGGCATGGGTGTATATTAGTGGGATTAAGCACCTGACGTGAACTTGTTTGTTTTGCTTGGATGGTTTACGTCAATCATCTGTCAATCCCGGCACTTACACATTCAAACTTGATGGGCCTTGTGTGTTTAAGCCAATCATGGCCAAGTTCATGTTGGACGTCTTGCCCAGCGAATCAAGCCTCCCAACTTAAAAAGGAACTTGTGATTTCTTGTCAAGTGTTTATTTCTCCGCTGGTTTGCTGGATTTGAAGATCAGTGCTGGTCATTTTGAAAGCGGTACTGGAGCAATGCAAGATATTCGTATCTAAATACCTAAAGATCCCAAGCTCTCACCAGATCTAGATGATAAGCAGCGCTGGCCTGGATATATGTGCCACCTACCTTGGTACCCGTCCATCCACACGAAACTCACAAACACGTCTCAAAAAGTAGTCAGTACTTTTGTTGTCAAGTTATGTTTATTAGGTCTACGGATTCCAAGCTTTACAGCTGGAAAATATCTAGAGAATCGAATATAGACCGTACCATAGTCATGTCTTGGTTTGGGACCAGTATACCATCGGGCATGTCGCGACTCGAGTCTGTGACATATGGTGACATATATCAGATATGCGGCTGTGAGCGTATATCAATATATGTGGCGCACAGCCTTCGCTTGGGCCCAGTGTCACTATAA